CCCGGGCTGGCTTTGAACCGCGATCCTCAGATCTCAGCCTCCTGAGTAGCTAGGATTACAGGCGTGAGCCACCAGCGCCCGGCTCCCACTGCTCTTTGTTAACCCTTTGTCCCTCCATTTCTGTGCCCTTCCTAATCCTCCCAAAGACAGATAAATGAACAAACAAGAAAAGAAAAACAACAACAAAGAAAAATCTCATTTTCATTTCTGGGAGAAATGTACTCTCTGCCTGACTTAGGTAGCTGTAACAACTCTGTACATCTAATAACAATGTAGGAAAACAAAAGAAAACAAGGAAGTTGGGAGTTGGTGGCTCACACATGTAGTCCAAGCTACTCAGGAGACAGGTCTGAGAATCTGGGTTCGAAGTCAGCTTTGACAGGAAAGCCCATGAGATTCTTTTTTTTTTTTTCAAGTATCACAATGTTTATTGATAGATACAAGTAGCCCATGAGATTCTTACTGTTAATTAGCCACCAAAATGCCAAGAAGTGGAGTTCTGGCTCAAGTGGTACAACACCAGCCTTGATCCAAAAAGCTAAGAGACAGTGTCCAGTCCTAATTTAAACCTCAATACCAGCACAAAAAACTTAAGGCAAAAGGGGCTAGAGACACAACTCAAGTGATAGAATACCTACTTTACAAGCAACAGGCCCTTAATTCAGTCCCTTAAAAAAAGAGAAGAAAAGCATCAAGCTACATTTTTCTTCATTTTGGGGAGGAGGAGCCATAAGACAGGGTGTCACTAGCTAGCTCCGGTTACCTGGAACTTGCTATGTAAACCAGATTGGCCCACCCTCCTGTCTCAGCCTCTTGAGTACTAGCTTGTACTATCATACATAGGTTTGTTTTTCTTATTTATTTGCTTGAGGCAGAGTCTTGCTGTACAGTTCATGAGCTTATAATCCTTCGGACCCAGCCTTCCTAGTCCTGGGATTAGTGGTGTGTAGCACCTTGCTTGGTTTGTATTTCTATTTTCTTTACAAACAAGGAAAGTGAGGACTAGGAAAATTAAAACAACTTGCCTAAGGTGACACAGCCAGAATGCTACAAACTGAAGATTTTTATCTACCTGACTAACTCCAGACTCTGCTGTTAATTCTGTCCTACAGCCGGGTACAGGTGGATTATACCTGAGTAGCTTAATCCCCTAAGGATCATGGTTCAAAGGAAACCTGAACAGGAAAGTCTGTGAGACTCTATCCCCAGTTAACCACCAAAAGGCTGGAAGTGGAGATGTGACCAAGTGGTACAGTGACAACCTTCAGGACAATACTAAGGGACAACACCCAGGCTCTGTGTTCAAGTCCCTGTACTGGCACACACACACACAAAAATCTGTCCTATAGCTACCTCCCATCAATGAAAGCTCTTCTTGGCTGCTGTGTAGAAAACAACCTGTAGGGATTAGGATGGAAGCTGGAGACCAGTGAGGAGGTTCCCATTGGGGGTTAGGCTAGCCATGATGTTGGTGGCAGTGATAGTGGTTTGATGGTTTGAAGGGCCAAATTCTAGATGGGTTTTGAAGGATGTCCTGAGCATGGATGTGGGGAATGTGTACAGAGGTGGAGTCAAGGATGAGTGAACAAGGCTGGGAATGTGGCTTAGTAGTAGAGTGCTTGCCTAGCATGCATGAAGCCCTGGATTCAATTCCTCAGTACCACATAAACAGAAAAAGCTGGAAATGACACTGTAGCTCCAGTGGTAGAGTGCTAGCCTTGAGCAAAAGAAGTTCAGGGACGGTATCCAGGCCCGAGTTCAAGCCCCAGGACTGCCAAAAAAACAAGGATTGAGTGAACAGCTAGAAAGAGGAGGAAGTAGGCTGGGCACTGGTATCTTACACCTGTAACCCTAGTTATCCAGGAGGCTGAGAACTGAGGATCATGGTTCGATGCCAGCCTGTGCAAGAAGATCCAGTTAGACTCCTATATCCAGTTAGCCCCTTAACAGCTGGAAATGGAGCTGTGGCTCAAGTGGCAGAGCTCTGACCTTGAGCAAAAAAAGAGCTCAAGGATAGAGCCCAGCCCCTGACTGCAAGCCCTAGGACTGCCATTTAAAAACAAAAGAGGGGGCTGGGAAGGTGGCTCAGTGGTGGAGTGCTTGCCTTGCATGCATGAGGCCCTGGGTTTGATTCCTCAGAACCACATAAGCAGAAAAAACCGTAAGTGGCGCTGTGGTTCAAGCGGTAGAGTACTAGCCTTGAGCTGAAGAGCTGAGGGACATGCCCAGGCCCAGAGGTCAGCCCTCATGACCAACACAAAAACAACAACAAATAAGAGGCCAGGCACCTGTGGCTCAACTCAGGAGGTTGAGATCTGAGGATTGTACTTCAAAGCCAGCCCAGGCAAGAAAGCCCATGAGTCTCTTTATCTCCAGTTAACCACCAGAAAACCATTGGTTCTGTGGCCCAATGTGGTAGAGCACTAACCTCGAGCAAGAAAGCTCAGGCCCTGAACTGAAGCCCCACATCCTACAAAAACAAAAAAAAGAGGGGGAAGCTGTTGATGGAAACATGGGAGAAAGGACATGGTTTGGGGAAATGAAATGCAAAGTAGGCACTGGACAGATAGCAAAGGGGCAGGGAGGGCATTGAACTTAGTAATCCTTTCCACCACAGGATCAAGAGTATTATCTGGTAAAGTGGCGCGGGTACCCTGACTCGGAGAACACCTGGGAGCCACGGCAGAATCTCAAGTGTGTGCGCCTTCTCAAGCAGTTCCATAAAGATTTAGAAAGGGAGCTGCTCCGGCGGCACCACCGATCCAGGCCACCCCGGCACCTGGACCCAAACTTGTCCAACTACCTGGTGCAGAAGGCTAAGCAGAGGCGGGCTCTTCAGCGCTGGGAACAGGAACTCAATGCCAAGCGCAACCACATTGGACGCATCACTGTGGAGAATGAGGTGGACTTAGATGGCCCACCTCGGGCCTTTGTGTATATAAATGAGTACCGTGTTGGTGAGGGCATCACCCTCAACCAGGTAGCTGTGGGCTGTGAGTGCCAGGACTGTCTGTGGGCACCCTCAGGAGGCTGCTGTCCGGGGGCATCCCTGCACAAGTTTGCTTACAATGACCAGGGCCAGGTGCGCCTACGAGCTGGACAGCCTATCTACGAGTGCAACTCCCGCTGTCGCTGTGGCTATGACTGCCCCAACCGTGTAGTCCAGAAGGGTATCCGCTATAACCTCTGCATCTTCCGCACGGATGATGGGCGTGGCTGGGGTGTCCGCACCTTGGAGAAGATCCGCAAGAACAGCTTTGTCATGGAGTATGTTGGAGAGGTAAGGAGATAGGCCTGGGAGGGCATGTGGGGGCAGTAAGTGTACTCAGATTTCACTACCATGTGGTTGAAATTCCTTGTGAGGAGGGTCTGGGAGGTCTGTCTGCATGGCTTTAAGGATATGAATACCTGGCCAGCTTGGGCTGGGAATATGTCTTAGTGGTAGAGTGCTTACCTAGCATGCATGAAGCCCTGAGTTTGATTCTTCAGTACCACATAAACAGAAAACGCCAGAAGTGGTGCTGTGGCTCAAGTGGTAGAGTGCTATCCTTGAGCAAAAAAGAAGCTCAGGGATGGTGCCCAGGCCCTGAGTTCAAGGCCCAGGACCAGCAAAAAAAATACCTAGAGCCCACCAGCACAGTCATATGGGTTGTTAATTAACACTGAAGTGCTTCTGTCCAGGGTTGACTTCATAAGGGTACCTAGCAAAAAAGCAGTATAGGAACTGAGCTCTAGGCAACATTCCTTTTAGAGGCCGTAGTGTGAGGACAGAGTAGTAGTGTTATCTGAAAAGATGTATCATCTCAGGTTACAGTGCCATGTTATCACAAATGTGTCTGGAATAGGATGCAGGCATGCCTTGGATGGTGGTTAGCTACTTTTTCTAGATCACCTTTGGAAAAAGCTAGAAGATACTTGAGTCAGGCCAGTTGCTGTAAGGAACAATGCCCAGATTCTGGTAGCTTTGCATATTAGCACGTTGCCATGAGCACCAGAAACTCCTGAGCAGGCGTTTCTACAGGGGTGTGGGGGGATCCTTTGGTTCTTTCCCTACTTGTGCTTTTCTCAAGCTTCCAGTTCACTGCCAGATCCTCAGCATTGCCTGGAAGTTTCTGGTGATCTGGTGGAGGGACTGACGGTGAGGGTTCTAATGGGTCAGGCCTGGACACAGTGCATGTCACTTCTGCTCACTATTTGCTGGCTGGAACTGAGTCACTTTACCTCAGTGCCAAGTAGGGGTGAGAAAGGAAATGCTTTAGCCATGTGTGTGGTCAAGTGTAAAACCAAGAGGTAATAGGTGGCTGAAAATGTAGCTTAGTGGTAGAGTGCTTACTTAGCATGCACGAAGCCCTCTTCCTAAACAGAAAAAGTCAGAAGTGGTGCAGTGTCTTAAGTGGTAGAGTGCTAGCCTTGAGCAAAAGAAGTTTAGCCACAGTCCCTAGTCCCTGAGTTGAAGCCCCAGGACTGGCAAAAAAGAGGTAATGGGAAAATAACTGTCAAGTGTGTCTGTTACAGTGTTAGATCCTAAGGTGGGATATGGTTGGCCTTTTGACCAGGGAGGTTTATTTTGTTTTTGTTAATATAGACCTGTGTTGAGCCTGTTGCTGGTGGCTCATGCCTGTAACCCTAGCTACTCAGGAGGATGATATCTGAGGATTGCAACTCAAAGCCAGCCCAGGCAGGAAAGTGTGATTCTTTTTTTTTTTTTTTTGGGTCCAGTCATGGGGCCTGAACTCTGGGCCTGGGCACTGTCCCTCAGCTCTTCAGCTCAAGGCTAGCGCTCTGCCACTTGAGCCATAGCGCCATTTCCAGCTTTTTTCTTTTTGCTTATGTGGTACTGAGGAATTGAACCCAGGGCCTCATGCATGCAAAGCAAGCGCTCTACCAATGAGCTACCTTCCCAGCCCAAGGAAAGTGTGATTCTTACCGCCAATTAACCACTAGAAAACTGCAAGTGGCACTTAGCTCAAAGTGGTAGAGCACTAGCCTTGAGCAAAAGAGCTCAGGGATAGTGTCCAGGCCCTGAGTTTTAAGCCCCAGGACTGGAAAAAGAAATTTTATAAACCTGTCTCTTGTCTTGGGAGATATGTTGCATCCCTGGACCTTGACCATCAACCATCTTAATCCCTGAGTGTGCCTTGTCATAGAGACAACCCCAAAGCCTGCACAGATTTCTATAGGTCCCTTAAGGGACACACATCTCAGGGTGTCTACACTGCAGCAGTGACACAGTTGAAGAAGGGCTCCCATTCTGAGGAATCAGAGTAGAGGTCAGACCCTAGAGGGACAGATAGAAAGTCTCAAAGCAAATCTACACCATAGAGGACCCTAACAGTCCAAACAAGGGAACAACCACACCCCAGTCTGCTAGAGGAAATGTCCATAGACCAGAGAGAGGGCCAGGCTTGTTGGGTGAAGAGGTCCTGAGGATCTGCAGGAAGAGATGTTTGCATCCTAGAGTACCCTGATGAGCTAGGGGAAGAATGTATGCTCTTCCCATCTCCTGACTTGGGAAGTAACCACACCCATGCTGTTATGAGGGTCAGGAAAAAGTATTCTCAACCCCAGAGAAGTCTATACCCGTGAGCACCCTGATAGGACAGAGGTGTCCATGCCCTTAGAGGGTGGCACTAACTGTGTAGATGAGGATATATATTCGTATTCTGGGGGCCCCTGGCAGTCTGGGAGGGTGATGGTAGTGTTCAGACCCTAAAGAATCCTGACAGTCCTAGAGGCCTTCCCAGGAGGAATCAAGTCCACTTCACTAATGGGTAGAGGAAAAGCTATCTCTACATACGATCCTGCAGGAAGAAGAGCCTACACTCCACATGAGCCTCAGCATCCCCTGGTCTTACTGTATTGACTCTTCACCTCTGGAAACTCTCTCACCTATTCTACTCTTTTAACAATTTTCTTTATGCATGCTATTCCATGTCCTTGCATCTGGCCATGATTGGCAACTTCCAGGTCCACTTGTGGGACCCTTTGGTCCATGGGTCCTTCTGCTAGTGCCACAGTCCCTCTCAAATACTGCCAGGGCCAGACTCTTCCAGTATGGCCTTTGAAGAGGGTATACAGCAAGGTGGGTAAAAAAGGTAGACCCAGTGCCTGCTTGCCTACTCAAGGTTGCATCTCTGTTCCACCACTCATCAGCAGTCAACTCACCTCTCTTTGTTTCAGTTTCCTAATCTGGAACATGGGAGCTGTAAGAGCACCCTCCTCATACGCTTGTTAGAGGCGTTTAGCTAGTTATTCTGTGTGAAGCACTTGGAGGAGACGCTTGAGCAGTGCCCAGTACACAGTAAGTCTCAGGTAAGTGTTAGCTGCTACAAGTCTAAAAGTTAGAAAATCCAAAATGCTCAGGCTTCAGGGTCCTAACTCTTGTACCCTAAAAACAACAGGAAGTCGGGTGCTGGTGGCTCATGTCTGTAATCCTAGCTACTCAGGAAGCTGAGATCTGAGGAGTTCAAAGCCAGCCCAGGTAGAAAGGTCTGTGAGACTCCTATCTCCAATAAACCACCAGAAAATGAAGTAGTGCTGTGGGTCAAGTGGTAGAGTGCTCGCCTTGAGCTGAAGAGCTCAGGGACAGCGCCCAGGCCGAGTTCAAACCCCACAACAGACAAAACCAACAATGACAACAACAGAAAAGGTTTCCTGGGGTTCTCGCCCTTCCCTTCTCTGCACAGGTTTCTCCATGCTATTCCATGGCCTCTATCTTGCCACAATCAGCAACTTCCAGGCCCACCTCTGGAGGGTATCCTGAGATCCAATGGTCCTTCTGATAGTACCACAGTTCCCCAAAATACTTTCAGTGCCGACCTCCTTCCCACATGGCCTCAAGATGGCACAGCAAGATGGGTAGGAGAGTGGGCTTCAAACCCATCTGGCTACAAGATTCGGTTCAGCCTGACCCAATAAAGGTCTATTTAGTCTTTGTTATTCTTACTTGAGGTGAAGTTATGTGGTGGTACTATTCTATATGCTTCCAAAGTGCTATGGAATTGAGGCCATAAGCCCTATACCTAAATGCTACACTGTCCTACTTTGGGACACTGACAATCACACCTGCTACGTAAGCAGCCTTTCACTCCTTTGCACCGTTCCATTTGGTCCAAACCTTCACATTTCTTCAGGACATTTTGACCCTCAACCAGCATAGACTACTAACACATTTTTTTGGGGGGGGCTCCAGTCGTGGGCCTGAACTCTGGGCCTGGGCCCTGTCCCTCAGCTCTTCAGCTCAAGGCTAGCGCTCTACCACTTGAGCCACAGTGCCACTTCCGGCTATTTTCTTTTTGCTTATGTGGTGCTGAGGAATCGAACCCAGGGCCTCAAGCATGCAAGGCAAGCGCTCTGCCACTGAGCCACCTTCCCAGCCCACTACTAACACATTTTATCCATTATGAAACATGCATCCCCTTCATATTTGAATAGCTCTGGAATGAAGGTGAGTGTTAATTGACTTAATTAAATGATAGACCATTCAATTAACAGCTTTTCTCTCTTGGCAAAAGGCATCTTAGACAAGATTTGGCACTCAACTGCTCATTACATCTCTGTTCCCAACCAAACCACTTCATTAAATTAGGATGGAATTGTTGTCATTTTACCTGTTCTACAGGTAAGAAAACAGAGGCCCAGAGAGGTGTAATAACTTGTTCAGAGTCACAAAGCTAATAACAAATATTTTTAAGGCTAAGTGTCTTAACACTAGTGCTCAGCCAGGCCTGTTGTTGTTCTTGTTTTTTGAGGGAGGGTAATTGGTGCTAAAGAAACAACAAGCACAGGGAGAGGGCATTGAAAGTCTCACTTCTGGGTAGTGGCAGAATAGCAGTTGATTCAGTCTGCTAGATCTCATTCATCTCCACAACTTTTCCAAGCTGCCCGTTACTATGCTGTCTGTCTTCTCCCAACAGTCTGGAAAGCTGCTGGTAAACAGGGATGGGAAGAGGCATGAGTTTGTTCCTGGTTTTTCAAGGTAGGCCACCCATTACAGCATGGCACTAGGAAGAGAAGGAACCGTTTGTGCCCTAGAGGGCTTGTGTGATGACTCAACTCCTGGTAAGACTGGGGGAACAGGTAGGGGCAGAATAGGCAGGAAGGTGGAGCCTGCAAAGGATGCAGGCTTTCTTCTTGGCATGGAGAGGAGCTACAATTAGAAAGATGGTTCAGACAAGAGCCAGTGTACTGGTAAAAGGCTGTCTCTTGATCCTAGAGCTTATTGAGTGAGGTGACTGGTTTCTAAGTAGCTAGGAAGCGTGAGGCTCAGAGAAGAGCTGTCTCCTTTTAGCCAACACCACAAGGTAGAGTCTGACCTCAGAATTCTTGGCTTCACAAGGACTCTGGCTCTCTTTTGTGTGCCAGTTCTGGGGCTTGAACTCTGGCCCTGAGCTTTTTTTTTTTTTTCTCTCATGGTTAGTGTTCTACCATTAGAACCATATCGTTTTTGGTAGTTAACTAGAGATAAGAGTCTCAAGGACTTTCATGGGTTGGCTTTGTATTCAGTTTTCAGCCTCCTTAGCTATATTACAGGCTGGAGTCACCAGGGCCCAGCTCAGCTTGGCTTTTTTTACTAGTCCTAGGGCTTGACCTCAGAACTCAGGGTGTGGGCATTGTCCCTAGGTTTCTTTTGCTCAAGGCTAGCACTCTACCACTTGAGCCACAGTACCACTTCTGGTTTGTTCTGTTTATGTGGTACTAAGGAACCAAACCCAGGGCTTCATGCATGCATGCTAGGTAAGCACTCTACCATTAAGCCACATTCCCAGCCTCACTTGGCTCTTTTTTTTTGTCAGTTGTGGGGCTTGAACTCTGGGCGTGGGTGCCATCCCTGAGCTCTTCAGCTCAAGGCAAGTACTCTACCACTTGAGCCACAGCACCACTTCTGGTTTTCTGGTGGTTTATTGGCGATGAGTCTCACAGACTTTCCTGCCCAGGCTGGCTTTGAACTGCGATCCTCACATCTGTTTCCGGAGTACTAGGATTATAGACAAGAGCCGGCAGTGCCCAGCTTCTTTTTTCTTTCTTTTTTTTTTTTTGCCAGTCCTGGGACTTGAACTCTGTCTGGGTGCTGTCCCTGAGGTAGCTATCTCCCTCCCTCCCTCTTTTCCTTCCTTCCTACCTTCCAAGGCTAGCGCTGTAGCACTTGAGCCACAGCTCCACTTGTGGATTTTTGGTAGTTTATTGGAGATAAGAGTCTCATGGGGTGGGTGCTGGTGGCTCATGCCTATAATCCTAGCTACTCAGGAGGCTGAGATCTAATGATCATGGTTCAAAGGCAGCCTGGGCAGGAAAGTCCGTGAGACTCTTATCTCTAATAAACCACTCAAAAACCAGATGTGGCACTGTGGCTCAAGCGGTAGAGCACTCACCTTGAGCTGAAGAGCAGTAGAGTGCTCACCTTGAGCTGAAGAGCGCGGGGACAGTGCGCAAGCCCAGAGTTCAAGCCCCACGACTGACCCCCCCCCCAAAAAAAGAGTAGAGATTCTCTTGTAAGGGATATAACAAGAGCCAAAGAAGTATGGTGCTTGAGGCCCTGGGTTCATGTCCCAGTACTGATATCAAAAAATTGCATATGAAAGAATCAGCATATCTCCTGGATGGAATAGAAAGAGGCAATGAGCACTGTGGTTTGGAAGTAAATATGGGTTGCAGAAGGGGTTAATTTGTAAGTCAGAAGAGCGTGGTACCCCAGCCACATGGGGTTAGTGGAAAAGGTTTGTGTCTAGGGTTGTCTGTGGAGTGGACAGTGGGTCTTTTGAGTAAGAGAAAGGGAAAGGAAAAAGAAGTGTGGGGAGAAGAGAATATTGGACCTGTCTGGAAGACTGCCATTGAACAAAGGACAGCTTGCTAGGCTAGAGAACCAATGGAAAAGAAAAAATCATTACCACATGTCTGCTGTGGGCTATGCACTCTTCTGGTATCCTGACTGAGGAGTAGGAGGAAGTAGGAGGAGGCTGGCACTTCAGGCACCCTGAGTTGAGATGGTAGTCTTGGGACCCTGGCCTGGAGAAGTGTGTAGTCACTCATGCTTGGAGATTGCCAGAGGTAGTAGTCATTGGTTTCAGGAAGGAGAGGAGAGCTCTGTCAAGCAAGAGTAAGGTGAAGCTGGGTGCTTGTGGCTCATTCCTATAATCCTAAGTGGCTCAGGAGGCTGAGATCTGAGGATCATGGGTTTGAAGCCAGATTGGGCAAGAAAGTCCATGAGACTCTTAGTCTTCAATTAAACACACACACACACACAACGGAAGTGGAGCTGTGGCTCAAGTGGTAGTAGAGTGCTAGCCTTGAGCACAAAAGCTCAGGGACATTGCCTGGTACACACACAAACACACAAAGTGAGGTGGAATTCATCAATAGATTGGGTGGGTACCTTCATGTTCCCTAGGATGGGGAGCCCAGCTGGGGAAAAGACAAGAGGTAGAGGATCCACCTGCTATCTCTAGGACTGGTGTTGGCACTGCCAAGCATAGTGTAGATTTGAGGGAGAGCTGCTCTCATCTCTGCTTGGGTATCTTTTACTTTTTTTTTTTGCCACTCCTGGGGCTTGAACTCAGGGCCTGAGCACTGTCCCTGAGTTTGTTTTGCTCAAGGTTAAAAATCCACCACTTGAACCACTGCCACCACATCTGGCCTTTTCTGTTTTATGTGGTACTGTCTTATGAACCCAGGGCTTCATGCATGCTAGGCAAGCACTCTACCACTAAGCCACATTCCCAGCCCTGGGTATCTTTTTCTTTAGTGTTCTCTCTTCATCTCATTCTATTTCTTTCATTCTGTTCCAAGATTTTGGCTTTGGCCTCTTTACTGAATATCTCAAACTCAGAGACCTTAAGGCCTTGAACCTCTATGAAGGCCTTAGGGTCTTTTTGTTGTTGCAATTGGTCGTGGGGCTTGAACTCAGGTCTAGGCACTGTCCTTGAGCTCTTTTGCTCAAGGCTACAGCGCCACAGCACCACTTCCAGTTTTCTGGTGGCTAGTTGGAGCCAAGAGTCTTACGGACTTTTTTTTGCCTGGGCTGGCCTTTGAACCTTGATCATCAGATCTTAGCCTCTCAGCAGCTAGGATTACAGGCATGAACCACCAGAACCCTGCCCTTGGGGGTCTTTCATACCCAAGATTCTGTCTGTGTTTCTTTCTCTGTCACTAAGGCTTTTGTCTGAATATCTTTTCTGTCCATTCTGGCCTTCTCTCTGCCTTCCCCAAACCCCGCCATTCCAGGTTTCTTTCTTCCTTTTTGTTCTCCATGTCTTGTTTGTCACCTGCGTGGTCTGCATTGTCTTGTACTTGCTCTAGGCCTCTTGCATTGGATCTGTCAAGTCTCTCCCTCTCTAGCTCTCCGTTGCACCCTGGTCGTCATTCCTCATTGCCCTTACTCTGAATTTCTGTCTCAGTCCCCATCTTGCTCTGACTCAAGGGCTCTGGCTCATCTTCAGCAGGCTTTCTGGGCAGCAGAAGGTGGACTTTGTCCTTTGTAGTCAAGCCCCCCACCACTGTAAGGGTGGCTTCCTGCCATCCAGAGGCAGAAGGAAAGGTGGGTGGTAGGTAGCTCTCTGAGAAGTGGTGGGGCCAGCTTGCCTGAACCATCATGACAAATCTATTCTCTTTCTTTCCCAGATCATTACCTCAGAGGAGGCAGAGCGGCGGGGCCAGATCTACGACCGCCAGGGTGCTACCTACCTCTTTGACCTGGACTACGTGGAGGATGTGTATACTGTGGATGCTGCCTACTATGGCAATATCTCCCACTTTGTCAACCATAGTGTGGGTCCCCCAGCAGGTGGGCAGTGGGTTGAAAGGGGGTAGACCAGGGTTCCTCCTCACCCTCCCACTGTTCTTTCTTGCCCAGTGTGACCCCAACCTGCAAGTGTACAACGTATTCATAGATAACCTTGATGAGCGGCTGCCCCGCATCGCTTTCTTTGCCACAAGGACCATCTGGGCAGGCGAGGAGCTCACCTTTGATTACAACATGCAAGGTGGGAGCAACAAGGGCCCTGGGGGATTGGGGTACACAGTCACTTCCTTCTCAAGGAACAGGTGGGAGGGATCACTGAGGATCAAGGGAGGTTTGTTCACTGGAGGTTTAAAGCTGTGCCTTCTAACTCCCAGTCTCCTACCTGAACTCCTTCCTATACCTTGGGCAATTCCCATATTCTGACCATTGGGCCCCCAATCAGAGCTGCGATTGCCAAAACTCACAGGAAAGGATGGTTGGCTGGAGAGTTACGGCACTACTGTGCCCTATCTTTTTTGGTGTTGTTGTTTTGGCCAGTCATGGGGCTTGAACTAAGGGCACTATGTAGCCCTGAGCGCTTTTTGCTTCAGGGCTAGCACTCTACCAGTTTGAGAGACAGCACCACTTCTGGTTTTCTGGTGGTTAATTGGAGATAAGAGTCTCAGGAGCCAGCTCCTTCCTGGGTGGCTTTAAACCGTGATCCTCAGATCTTAGCCTCCTGAGTAGCTAGGATGACAGGTGTGAGCCACCAGCGCCCAGCTCTGTGCCCCATCTTGACTGAGTGGTACCTCTAGCCCCTCCCTACTCAAGCAGGGAAAAGGTCATTTTCCTTCTTCCCTCTGTCTGGACACCCTTGTGGCCTCCAACCATAACCTTCCTTCACAGACTAGCCTCTCTGAGACACCTGAGATAGATCTTGGATAGAGGAGTTCAGGTGCCCTTCTGGGTTGCCCAGGTGGCCCACCGTTCCATTCTCCTTGATTCCCTGACAACCCTTCCGCCTATCCTAACCTCCTTGAGTCTCTGGCGTAAACATCCCTCCAGTGCTATTCTGGCCCCATCTCCCAATCCTCATCCCACAGATCATCTCCTAACTTAAGCTTCCTTGGCCCTTGGTCTCCTGGAGTAGAGGGTAGCAGGACAACTCTATACAGTCCTTCTAACAAGTTCCTTCCCTCCCTTCCTGATTATGACTCCACAGTGGATCCCGTGGACATAGAAAGTACCCACATGGACTCCAACTTTGGCCTGGCTGGGCTCCCTGGATCCCCCAAGAAGCGGGTCCGTATTGAATGCAAGTGCGGGACTCAATCCTGCCGAAAATATCTCTTCTAGTCCTGAGAAATCTTCATCAAACTGACTGAGAGGCCTGAACCTACCCATCTCTCTCCTACTGCTGTCCTCTTGTGGGGATGACCACCAATGCCTCTCCTGCTGCCATCTGCCCTTGCTTGCTTCTACCTGCCCCAGGGTCAGGGGTGTGGTGAGGATCAACTCCGGGTCCCCTTTCCCTTTCCCAGTTGTGGGTTGCACTTAGAAACCTCCCACTCGCCACTTTTGGAAGTACATTTTTTTTTATGTCAAGTTTTGTCTGTATTTGAGATTTCGGGCCTTTCATGGAGGTCCAAGGGCTGAGCTCCAGCCAAGCCCCAGAATAGGGGTGATTTTAGTTGGTTGGTTTGTTGGGTTTTTTTTTTTCACTGCTTTGTTTTGAGACAGAGTCTTTATGTAATAGAGGCTGGCCTGGAACTTGCTATGAAGCCCAGGCTACCCTTGAATTCATGCCCCTTCTTGTCTCCCAATGCCCAAGTGCTGGGATTAACAGGTGTGTGGTACCACACCCAAAGAAGATATTTTGTTGTTGCACCTGCTTTTTTTTTTTTTTTTTGCCTGGAGCCTGAGGGCTCTGTTGTGGGTCTCTTTCCTGCCCCATTAGTATGAGGCAACCCCAAGGCAGGTGGACATAGCTACTGTCCTGAAAGGAAAGGAGATCTCCCAGGGCTCTGACTGTATTTGGTTTCTGCTTATTATACTTACGATGTTAGCCTTAAGAGTTGTAGGTTCTCTTGTCTGGGCTGTAGATCTGGAAAGCCCACATGCTTTCCAGGGAGATAAGATACCTATGGCCCAGACTCTGCCAGCCCTGAAACAGGGAGCTAAAAATCAAGCTCTATCTTTGTCAAGAAGTATCTCACACTCTTAGGAACTCCTGAGAGTTCTGGAAACCCCAGCCCTGGGGTATGATGACTTCTGGGACTACTTGAGGCTGGAGTCAAGACCTAGATAGTCTGTAGATAGCACTTAGAACAATAATGTGCATTGATTAGAAGCTGATGATGTGCCAGGGACTGGATAGAGTACCTGGTCCATGTGGACTGTCTCAGGGAAGCCTTGAAAACCACAGAGATGGAGCCCAGTGAAGGGCTCACATGGCAGAAGGCAAAGTACAGGCCAAGAGTTGCAGGGAAGAACTTCACTCAGATGTGCTGGGCTGAGAAGGGAGTCCCTGCTGCCTGCCAGCCCTCTAACCTGTTGAGCTCACCCTGGGTCCACTGGTCTGAAAAAGTTAATTACCTAGACATGTACAAAAAGGCAAAGGTTCTGATGGCTGCCTCGTCTCCTGCTCCCTCCTCCTGTGACATGTTCTCTAGGAAGCCTTTCCTGACTACCTGTGCCCACCAGAGTGTCCCCATGTGTGACTGTGCCCTGCTACCAGATGCCAGATCTGTTGTGTCTATGTGGGTGTTTCCTGCCCTTTTCCCTCCAGGCTTACTTTCAGGCTTGGACTGAATCTGGTTCTCTTGTGTACCCCTTCAGCCCTACCCAGTCTGGAACGGACATCAATAAATCTTGTTGACTGAACAAGCTGAGGTGTGGAGAATTGTGTGGCCTGGGTAGGTGCTGGGAGATGAAAGGGTAGGGGCCAAATGGTGCACAGTGTAGGGGGGGACCAGGAAATGGCCTGGAAATAGGAGTTTTCAAGGTTCAGCTATCTGACTCAGCTTAGATTCCACACAGCATACCACCTGAACCATCTGTAAAGCACCCTAAAGGAAGTTTGCTTCAAACAAGATTTTTTTTTTTTTGGTCCAGTCGTGGGGCCTGAACTCTGGGCCTGGGCCCTGTTCCTCAGCTCTTCAGCTCAAGGCTAGCGCTCTACCACTTGAGCCACAGCTCCACTTCTGGCATTTTGCTGATTAATTGGAGATAAGAGTCTCACAGATTTGTCTGCTTGGGCTAGCTTTGAACCTCGATCCTCAGGCCTCAGCCACAGGGGCCCAGACATACTTGTGTTTTAAAAAGCACTTTGAAAGTAAATAGCTTAGTGTTCTCTAAGCCTATATGTACCAGGTATAAAGCAGAGAATAAAAACATGAGGTTTGGGATGTTCATTTTCATCCCATGTAATTGTGAGCCAATGCTCTTTGGTTTTACAAACTTGGGCTGTAACAGACACCCAAAGATTTCTACCATATAGGTGACAGTCCTAAACAGTCTCATTTTAACAAAGACATGCCCCCCCCCCAAGCTGGACACTGGTGGCTTACTCCTGTAATCCTAGCTATTCAGGAATCTCAGTTCAAAGCCAGCCTGGCAGGAAAGTCCATGAGACTTTTTTTTGGTCGTGGGGCCTGCACTCTGGGCTTGAGCACTGTCCTTCAGCTCTTCAGCTCAATGCTAGCGCTCTCCCACTTGAGCCACAGTGCCGCTTCTGGCTTTTTCTGCTTACGTGCTGCTGAGGAATTGCACCCAGGGCCTCATACATGCAAGGCAAGCACTCTACCACTGAGCCACCTTCCCAGCCCTCCATGAGACTTTTTTTTTTTTTGGTCGGTCATGGGGCTTGAACTCTGGGCTTAGGAGCTGTCCCTGCGCTCTTCAGCTCAAGGCGAGCACTTTACCGCTTGAGCCACAGCGCCATTTCCGGTTTTCTAGTGGTTTATTGGAGAAAAGAGTCTCACAGACTTTCCTGCCCAGGCTGGCTTTGAACTGTGATCCTCAGATCTCAGTCTCCTGAGAAGCTAGGATTACAGGCATGAGCCACCGGCGCCCAGCTCCCATGAGACTCAACTCCAATTAAGTACTGAAAGAGCCAGAAGTGAAACTGAGGCTTAAGTGGTACAGTGCTAGTCTTGAGCACAAAAGCTTAGGGGCAGTGCCAGTCTACATGTCAAACCCAGAGACTTCAGGGCACCTAAGACACAGAGCCCAACAAAGAGGTCCTAGACTTGAGACCCTGGATACTGTCTCTAAACCTCTAGAGCTGTCACAACTGGACACAGGCAGCCCCCTCCACCACTGAAGTCAGACTTCATTGGGACCCAGGGTACAGTTGCTCACACAGCTCTCACATACCTCACAGGCTGCCTCGCACTGCCATCTGAATACCAAACACATCAGAGAACTTAGTTTTCTGTGGTATAAGAAGACTTCCCAGCCTGAGAGATGAGAGACTATATGTGTTCTGACAGACCCGGAAATAATTCAAGAATTGGGACATACTGGGATAGACTATCAAAACACTTTAATTTGTAACACATGTGCTCAAAGAGTTCAAAGACTTGGAAATCTGATTATTCACTCCCACAAAGCTCAGAGACTTACTTCACCATCAATCACCATAGGGGATTAAAGATCTATTGCCAGGTGCCAGTGGCCCACATCTGCCAGCTACTAGGAGGCTGAGATCTGAGGATCGCAGTTCAAAGCTAGCCAGGGCAGGAAAGTCTATGAAACTCATGTCTACTAGCTCCAAAATGGAGCTGTAGCTCAAGTGATAGAGTGCTAGCCTTGAGCAAAAAAGTTCCAGGGATAGTGACCAGGCCCTGAGTTCAAGCCCCACTTGATTCTCTTGGTGGTTAATTGGGAGATTACAGTCACACACTTCAGGCTGGCTTTAAATTTATTATCCCAGTCTCAGGCTCCCGAATATCTACGATTACAGGCGTGAGCCACTGGTGCCAGGCAGGCTTGAAAATCTTTTTACTTTTTGCCAGTCCTGGGACTTGAACTCAGGGCCTGGACACTGTCCCTGAGCTTCCTTTGCTCAAGGCTAGCACTCTACTACTTGAGCCCCAGCACCACTTCCACATTTTTCTGTGTATGTGGTACTGAGGAATTGAACCCAGGACTTCTTGCATGCTAGGCAAGCACTCTACCACTAAACCACATTCCCAGCCTAGGCTTGAAAATCAACACCTCTATAGCTTTGCTTCAATGGCTCACATCCTGTTATATATGTAACATAGCCCAGACACAGATCCTAAACAACCCAGAATCTTCCTACTCTTAAGACCTCCAAATGATTCTAAAATCTCCCCCCTTGAACTCAGACCTCCAATACCTTCCTGGAACGTGCACTCTTGTCACATCAGGAAGGATTTAAGATCCCTGATGGTCACAGATAATCAATCATCCAGCTCAGAAACCTGGCTTTCTGTGCCTAGTTAGCCACAAACAGCTGACACCTCATGACTTAGGACATAGTCCCTAAACATCTTAGGGAACTTCAGATCAGGGACAGGAAGCTCCCAAGGAGCAGCTCAGCAAATTCCTTCCTTTTTTTGCCAGTCCTGGGGCTTGAACTCAGGACCTGGGCACTGACCCTGAGCTTCTTTGGCTCAAGGCTAGAATTCTACCACTTGAGCCACAGAGCTACTTCTGGCTTTTTTCCGTTTATGTGGTGCTGAGGAATTGAACCTAGGGCCTCATTCGTGCTAAGCAAGCACTCTACCTCTAAGCCATATCCCCAGCCCTTCAGCAAACTTCTAACTTAGATGAGGTGGAAGCACTTCAGACAACTACATGTCCTGGCTGCAGATTTCTCTGGGACAGCTCTGATAATGTGTTGGGACTCAACCGAGTCAAATTCACAACCTAGACAATGGACCCTCACAAAGCAGACGTACAATGTCAACCTGCTGGGTTGACAAACTTTACAACACCTCCCACACCTCTCCAATTTATCCCAGAGATAACAAAAACTGGAAATAGGAATTCCAACTATGCAGAAACTTAAAGCCCTGGAAACCTAGTGCTAAGAAGTTGGTAACCTTGTATCCTGGGGTTGAGAACCCCCACCCCATCCCTCCAGCAAGAAGTGCTCCATGTAACCTAAAAGCTAAAGGACCTCAACACCAAAAGGTACAAAGACCTGAGATTTTATTTTATTTTTTATTTTTTTTGGGGGGTCCGGTCGTGGGGCCTGAACTCTGGGCCTGGGCGCTGTCCCTCAGCTCTTCAGCCCAAGGCTAGCGCTCTACCACTTGAGCCACAGCGCCACTTCCGGCTTTTTTCTTTTTGCTTATGTGGTGCTGAGGAATCGAACCCAGGGCCTCATGCATGCAAGGCAAGTGCTCTACCACTGAGCCACCTTCCCAGCCCCTTATTTTATTTTTTTAATTGTTATTTATTTTTTATTGTGAAAATACTGTACAGAGGGGTTACAATTACATGGGCAAGATAATGAGTACATTTCTTATCAAGCATTGTTGCCTCCTTCTTTGTTTCCCCATACTATCCCTTCCCAGCCTCCCCCCGCCCCCCAGAGCTGAGATTTTATACTTTGGGACTGAGATAGAAAAGAATGCAGGGACTTGAGACAGTAAAAAGGCACCAGTAGAAAGACATTAGACTGAGAACAGATGCTATAACCGCTCTGAAAAATCAAAATCAACACTTAGCATAAAGGACTCATCCATTGGGTTAAACAATTTAGAAGCCAGGTACCAGTAGCTCATGCCTGTAATCCTAGATACCTAGGAGATAGAGATCTGAAGATTGAGGTTTGAAACCAGTCTGGGGAGACAATTGCCAGACTCTTATCTCCAATCTAACAGCAAAAAGATGAAAGTGGAGGCATGGCCCATGTGGTAGAATGCCAGCCTGAGCAAAAACAAAGCTAAGCAAGAGCATGAGGCACTGAGTTCAAGTCTCCATACCAGCAAACACACACACACACACCCTGTTTAAAGGGCTATCATCTATACAAGTCGTTACGTCGAAAAACAAACTTTACAACTTTGGGGGGAGTAGGGGAGGAGGATGGGAAGGGATGGGAAGGAGAAACAAAACAGGAGGCTACAATTCTTGATAAGAAATGTGCTCCTGGGCTGGGAAGGTGGCTCAGTGGTAGAGCGTTTGCCTTGCATGCTCAAGGCCCTGGGTTCGATTCCTCAGCACCACATAAGCAAAAAGAAAAAAAAGCCGGAAGTGGCGCTGTGGCTCAAGTGGTAGAGCGCTAGCCTTGAGCTGAAGAACTGAGGGACAGGGCCCAGGCCCAGAGTTCAGCCCCCACGACCGGACCCAAAAAAAAAAAAAAAGAAATGTGCTCCTTATCTTACCCATGTAATTGTAACCCCTCTGTACAGTATTTTCACAATAAAAATTTATTTAAAAATAAAAAAAAAGGGCCATCATCCAGAGCTCCAATACTCAAATTTATCGGCATGCTCATAAAGTGTCACAAACACTTCAAAGAGATGGTTAAGTGAAGACATCAAACTGCACAGAGACCACTACACTAAACATAGACATGCAAACAGCCCAAGAAATTCACCCACTGGTACACTCACACTTGTACATGCCTGTAATTCCAGCACTCTGGGGCTGAGGCAGGAGGGCCACAAGTTTGAGGCCATATTGGTCTGAGTCCCTGTTTCCAAAAGCAAAACACAAAAATGCAGAGAACTTGATCTTGGAAGAAGACCCCTAATGAGTCAAATATTTCACACCCTAGGAATGGAGACCTACTAAAACAGAGGCTGGAAAGGTGGCTCAGTGGTAGAGCGCTTGCCTTGCATGCATGAGGCCCTGGGTTCCATTCCTCAGCACCACATAAACAAAAAGAA